CTTCCAAAACGGAAGTGTAACGCCCCGATTCTGAATTCCCATTAATTGTTGAGTCTTTTAATTTATTTAATTGATGTTTGTTTAAATTGAGAAATTATATATTGTTATTATGTGGTGTTTGCTTATTTTATCTATTTTACCGATTCGGAGAGTTTTCGGGGAATTAGAGTAAAAAGGGCATTTTAGACATTTAGCACTTAGTGTGAGAATTGATTGGTTAGTGTTGGAAAGAATTTGAGAGGAAAGAAATAGAGATGAAAATAGAATAAGAGAGGAAAAGGAAGAAAGATAGTAACATAAGAAGAAAAACAAGAGAAAGAAAAGAGGAGAAGAGAAAGAGAAGAGATGGTGGAGAGGAAAACCTAGAATCATCAAGGAAATCATTACCAAAGCTTGCAATCGATCGGTAAGGGTGTGAAACTTCATCATCTCTTTAATGTATATGATTGTATGTGTATGTGTGTGGATTTTGTAGAGTTTCTACTCTTTTTCCACTTAGGTTAGAAGTTGGTTTTGTGAGTAGAATGAGATTTTAATCGGTTAGAACTCGGATTAGATGATGTAGTTTAGTCGGGTGATGGTTGGGTTGTGCTACTGTGACTGGTTTGGATTTAATCGGTCGGTTGTGTGGAGTTTGGGCTTTGAGACAGCCATGGAAGTTCTGTCTTCGCAAGTTCGCCAGGCGAAAGGCAGCGAAGCTTCGCCAGGCGAAGCCCAGCGAGCTGTAGCGAAGCAAGTCAGAAGCTAATATTCTGTATTCGCTGGCAAGTTCGCCAGGCGAAGTGAGTTGGCGAAGGTTCGCCAGGCGAGTGGGTAGCGAGCCTCAGCGAGTAATTCCAGAATTACTCCCAGTGGACTTCGCTGGGGAGTTCGCCAGGCGAAGGCCAGCGAGCATTCGCTGCGTGGCTTCGCCAGGCGAAGGTTGGCGAACCTGGCAGTGTTATTTGTTTTGCTGTTTGTTCATGGCATGATGTTTGATTGATTCAATTATGATTAATGCCTATATGAATGATTGATGTGTGAACTGTTTCAACATGTTGTGCTGTGGGTGGCCGAAAGGCGTGAATCCTAGATTGTAGAGTAAATGATAAATCTTGAATATTTGATAATCTTGTGTATTTGCTCGAATTGAATAGAAATGCATTGATAGGCTGATATGTGTGTAAACCATGTGTGGAATGGTGTATAATGTGAATGCATGATAGATATATGCCATGTATATGATAAATGCAATGAATATGTTCGTGAGCATAGTATGCATTTTTGTGTCGATTGATCCCTCGGAGGATTTGCAGAACCTCGTATGATACGATGGTTATATTTGATTCCTTGGAGAATCGGTTGCATTGTTTGATTCCTTGGAGAATCGGTTGCATTGTGTGATTCCTCGGAGAATCGGTCATAACATGTAATCCCGTTGAGGATTGGTTAGAGTATTTGATTCCGTGGAGAATCTGCTGAGTACTTGATCCCGTGGAGGATCTGCTGAATATTCGATTCCGTGGAGAATCTGATGAATATTTGATTCCGTGGAGAATCTGCTGAGTACTTGATCCCGTGGAGGATCTGCTGAATACTCGATTCCTTAGGGAATTTGTTGAATGAGTCGGTACCGCATTTGCATCTGCATAGAGTCGTGTGTCGGTCTCTATGAGTTGCATGAGTCATCCGTGTATGATGCATTAGTTGCGTGAATATAACTGTGTATGTTATATATGATTGTTTGGAGGAAATATAGTGAATGTTCATGTGTATGTGTAGAGACATGATTATTTGTATATGCTTAATGTGTGGAGAACATAATTTGAGTATAACTTGTACCAATATGAGTATATGTATATATACAATTTTATGCATTAACTGTTATGATGTTGTTTCTCACCCTTCTGCTGTTTTATAATGCTCTATGAGGCATTGCAGAGTAGGAAGCTGGAGGTTCTTTTTGTGAAGCGATGTCTTCATTCTTTTTGGTCAATGGCTCTGATATGTAACATTTGGGTAGTTAGGAAGCCTTTGACTCTTTTGGAGTTACATTTGTTTTGATTCTTTTGTGATACATATGTGTATGTATCTGCTGTGGATATGTTGTAAAGCATGAATTAACTGATGGTTGTATATACTTTTATGAATGGGATCGATTCAATATTTGGATGTTTCCGCTTTATTCTAAATATTGAGATGTGGGTTACCCATTGTTGCATATCTATTTTGAGCAGGTATCGTATGTGTTTAATTTCATGATAATGTGATGCGCCTCTTATATACCATGTTTTAATTAAACTCTGATGAAATAAATTTTCTAAGTGCCTAATTGATTTATTTAATTTATTTGGGGGTATAGAAAGGGGGTGTTACATTAAGTGGTATCAGAGCCAGTGTTGAGTCAGTCGTGTCTGTCTTGTTGTTGTGTTGGTTGAACGGTTGTTTAACCTTGTTGTTATTTTTGGGAATCCTCAGAATATGGCAGGTCGTAATGACAATGCTATGGCAGCGGCGTTAG